AATAGACACTACTTTTTTAAAAACTCAGAATTTTAGGGCCCAGATTTTAATCATTTAATCAAAATGAAGTTTTATCTTCAAACTTTTCCAGAATACATTAATATCTAAATATAGTATGTATAATACAGAAGTGGATCGAGGGGTGAGGCTAGCAAGGTACCTAGATCATATCCAAGATAACCTTTACAGAGATATATCATTTAGTACTTTCTATAATTATGTTAATTTATACTCAATAAGGTTAGTCAAATGAGGAACATCAGACTAAACTGTACACTTAAAAATGGCTAAGATGGTAAATTTTATGTTACGTGTATTTTACCACAATTAAAAATAAAAAAGAATGAAGAAAAAATAAGGAACATCAGTATCTCTACTTACAACTAATCCATAATGATATATAAGATTAACTTCGTTGTTGGTTATATAATGAAGACACTGCATCATTGTAAAACAAGTAAAACCACCGAAAGAAATTCACAAAAATGTTAGAATTAGAAATAACCAAAAATTATTAAATCTAACCATTTCATATGGCAGATAAGCAAAGTAAAGCCCATAGCTACCATCCAGTGTTTGATACCAGTGACCACTGGCTCTAGAAACTCTCCATACACCCTTCCAATCACATTTCTGATCACTCCCTTAGAGTTTCCTTCAAAGACACTTTCTTTTCTATGGACTACTTTAAAATTGGTATTCCCTTGGCCCATTTCTCTTTAAACTTTAAGTACTTGTTTGAATGACAACCCATTTTCCTGATTTTAACCTTTTTATAGATGATTCCCAAAATTATATCTCTAATATGAGTCTTTTCCTTAACCTCTAGATATGAATATCCTGTCTAATAGATAGCTGGATATCTTATGGGCATTTCAAATACACGTGTAAATTCAAACTCCCTATTTGCCCTTAACTCAGTAAAGGTGCTACTTCTATCATTGACAGCGTGACAATCCACCCAAACACCAAAACCAGCACCTGGACCACCACTTAGATAGCCCCATTTCTCGCATTCCCCAAATCCATTACTCGCTTGGTACTGTTGATTTTATGTGAAGTCTCTCAGGGATCACTGGCCAACTTGGCCCATTGTCTAGTGTTTGGAAACCATTTTTTATCACACTTTGTTCGATATTTGGTTATTTCAGGCAGCAAGAAAAATCTGGTCCCTGTTACTTCATCCTGGGCAGGAGAATGTTCTAAAGTGTATTTTATGTTGTGGACTATTATGTGTCTACTTGTTAGCTTACAAATATAAAAATTTCTTATGTCACTTGCAATCTTAAACTAGAAGATTTTCCTAAAGCTGTCAAATAATCGTGTAACTTAATACAATTTTTCTCATCCTTTTACACAACTACTCAAAATGGTATCAATAAAGAGTAGTTACAGTAGTCAATTTTTTTGTGGAATAAATAGGGAATAAGTCTACTTTTAATACAACTACTTATATTATTATGAATTAATTTTTTGGACCAACATAAACTTCAAACACCTAAATATTCTGTGTAGCTATTATATTCTAGATAATGCAGTAGTATCATCCAGTTTTTCTACAAATCAGGTAACACTCATCTGGGACACTATCTGAATCCAACATGAACCAGGCAGTGCATGCCCTAGGCATCCTGTCAGTAAATGACATTTACCTTGACATTCCCATTTCTCTTTGGGAGCCTAAGAGTTTTCTAAGGGATCCCTCTAATAAAGGCTCCCCGTAAGATGCTTCATAGAATGGCTCGTTACATTTTCCCTGCTAGACCTTGAGAACTACTATGTTTCTTTGAACTCCTCAGCATCTAGGTTGATATGTAACAAAAATTAAGAGCTGAATGTGAAAATTAATGAAAGAGTAATAAATGGAGAGAGAGCCTTCCATATCGTATTACTAGGTAACAAGCTAGTTTAGAAAATAAACAAGTTTATAGAAGGGTATTAAAAGTTTAACATGCATGTGATTATTAGGTAAATACTAATATTTTAACTAGATTTTTAAAAATATACTATTAATCAGAAAGAATGTATTAAGGTGCTGTGGGGCCTTGGAACAATCCCTGAAATTGTATTCCACGTTCTTCAACTCCAGGGCTATCAATGAGAATAGTAAAAGGTAATTCATTAAAAAAACCCCACAAACTCCAAGAGATGTGCTATAGTCCCACTATAGAATATAATATACTTTGTGTGTCGTGCGCACCTGTGAACACACACACACACACACACACACACACACACACACAAATACATACACACAGAGGATGCCAAAAATATATATACACATTTTAAGAAAGGAAAAAACTGTATTAAAATTGTAATACTCAATATATACTGATAACAAAAGATGAATACAAGTTATGTGTTTACATTTTTTTGGCACTCCAGTATGTATGTGTGTGTGTGTGTTACACACAAAAAATGAATGAATGCTATATAAGCTTATTTTAGTATCATTGTACTTTCGTTAGAATGGAGAAGGAAAATTGAACAAAAGAAAGGAGTTAGAGTTGTATTACTAAGAAGACAAAACTACAGATAAGAGCATCAAAAGAAGGCAAATTTTTTGTAACAGGTCAGACAGCAAAAACTAAAAAAGAAACATTAAATAAGTCTCAGAAAAAAGAGATATACTTTTTCTACCACAGTTCTTAGTCAAAATTCAGTGAAACCAGAATACCAACTCTTGGCTTAAAGTGACAAAGAAAAGCATGATATATAAGATAAAGCACTGGAGAGGCATCTGATAATATTTGGATTATTCCTTTTTTCCATGAAATATTACTGGTGGCAAACAATATCTTAGAACTTCAGATTGAACTATAATCAGATACGTTCACTATTATTACATAATCATTACAATAGAAATATGTGTTCTAAGTATTTGCTCATCTTCTTAACTACTTACTAATCACTTTGGTCTTTACTTTTATTGGCTAGTAAATACACCACAGATTACTCCTTCTAGAAGATCACTAAAATAATATGTAACAAGGTGGTGGGTAGTATTCCTCAGAAAAAAAACCCACTTATTGTATTGGTGATTTAAATAGTAAAAACAGAATGTGTTAAGTCAGTGAAATTAGAAGAGCACATAAAGGTCAGTAAGGCACTACACAGAAACACAAGAAAGAAAACTTCTCAAATGATTTTCTTGTGACCACATACTGTATGCTAAGAATACAGATTGAGCTTGACCAAATTGAGAGAGTATAACTAAGATAGAATTGTCCATGTTATCACTCTCATTCCCATTAACAATAGGTGTTCCCTGAGATTAAAGATTTTATCATAATAAAAACTACACATAACTAAGTGAATAAATTTAACAGTTATCACAGGCAAAACCACACATGGTCTTTTGGGTTGTCGGAAAAGTCATGAGGTATGTTTTTCCATGTTTTTCATTGCAAAAATGCGTCATGACTTTTCTGACAACCCAATAGTTAAGCTCTACCATGAAGAAGGGCATGGATAAGTATACAAGGACTGGGTGCTATAAAATGAAAGAGATTATAAGGAGATAGTGTCTTATCATAAATTAAAGAGGCTAACATTGAATATAAGTGTTCAGCAACATCACAAGAATACTGTGCATTTTCTGCTTCTGCAATGATAGACAATGTAAAAGCACTAAATGTTTCCTGTATTCATGTTGTCTTGTCTGTCTATCTGATGCCACCAGAATATCAAAGGAAATGTAGGGAAAGAGAACAGGGGAGTCAACACAAGGAGTTATTTGGATAATATTAATTGTAAAAGGCCTCATGCTGACAGAGGTTAGTGACAACTAGCTGATGTCTGTGAAAAAGTCATATTTCCCATAAGCAAAGAGTTAAAATGAAAGACAAGACACTTTCTCCCTCCCACTCTTAATTTTCTTAAGCAATGCTTGAAAAAGAGAGGCTGTAAAGGATTGTCAATATCCAGGTTATTGGCTCTTGTATTAGACAGCATTTCAAACAATCACATTCACTGACTAATACCAGGCAACTGGAGATGTTTTTAGACATATTTTTTAAAAGTATTTTGATAAGTAAGTTTTCATTATAATAATCAGAATATATTAGTTATGCATAACATGTCTGTATCTGTCTGTATTACTTTTCTATGCTACATAACAAATTACCACATATATAGCAGCTAAAAACAGCACATATGTGTTCTCTTGCAGTTTCTGTGGGTGAAGAATCCTGGTATCATTTGTTGATCATTGATCTTGCTCCTGTTCTTAAGGTGAGGACAACTTTCTTTTGCAATTTTCTACATCTTAAATATAAGTGGAGGTCCCCAGTACTTAGATAGTACTGTCTGCTACACATAAAATGCTATAAAGATGCCTTCCATATCATTCATCTTTCATATCTTATTCAAAGAGTTCAAATTCTATACAAAAACTTAAAATGTGTAACTATTGAGTTACTTTTACCTAATTCCTACTAAAATAGATAAGCATTTAATTTTGTTCATTTTCATCAAGTAAAACATGATCTCGACAGAGGTTAATTCAATAAGATTAAACTATGAGTCCTTAAAAGTGAAAATAAGTGATAAGAAAAGTTAATAACAATAACAATTTTCATAATAGTTATAATTACCACCTTCAAATTTAATTTGTGATTAGGTAGGGAAAATAAGTAGGTAACTCTTTTAGTTTAATTCCAACTAAGTTTTTATCTCAGTAGTGATTTGTACATTGAGTATTTAAAACATATAAATAATGCTTAAAAAGAAACCAATAGTAAAATGAATTAATTTTAATTCAAAGAACATCTCAAAATTTGTGTATTTTTATAACTTTTATCAGAAAGAGCATGTTTTTCATATAATTTCACTACTAATATGCAAATTATACCAACAGTTTTCATCTAAATTATGGAAAACAAATGGTATTCATAAGTGTTATCAATGAGAAAATTTTTACTAATATTATAAATGCTAAAAATTATAAAAGATCATAGAAGTTAAAACCATGATATTTCTAACTTTTATTAATAGTTTACCTGCAGTGTGAGACTCTTTACTGCATTCCATACTGCTCCAATAAATTCTTTCATTCTCTCTTCAGGACTTCTACAGCCTTCTGATATATTCAGCATGGCTTTCACAGGAACTGACAATGGTCTGGATTCTAAGCATAAAAATAGCTAGTTATTTAACAGAAATGTACCTTACAGTTTCACAAAGATATACCGAAAATATTTTCAAGGTTATTCTTTCCTTGCTTAAAGTTAAAACTATGAGATTATAGAATATTATATTAGATCATTTTTTCTTATACAATTACTGATATTTGCAACTATTCAAAAATAAGCAAAACAAATTTGTTAAAAGTTAGAAGTGAGTTTGTTATTTTTCTCAGGGATTGATGATTGGAAGGTGGGTTTGTGAAGCAATGGTGATGTTTCATTTATCAAACACCTGGATGTTTTCACTTTGTGGAAATTAAGTTATAACCTAACCATCTATCCAATTCTCAGTATGAAGTTAATACATCAATAAAAACTTTACTTGAAAAAGGGAAATTCAATACAAAGTACCTGATTCATCCAAAATTGTTAGGAAATGGGTCTTTCCATATGTCAATTTTCCTGATAACAAAAGCTATAGGATCTCTCAGTTCTAAAAACTGAGTTTGATGGTAATCAAAAGAAGTATGCCATTACATAAAAGGCAGATTTATATATTAAGAAAATGAAATGTGATATTCCATTCAATATAGTATGTTATTAAAAATTTTGTTAATATAAAATAAAATTCGAGAATTTCAACAATGTTCATAATGTAAAATTTCAGAAATTACTTTGAACAACTTAATAATTTATATCATATATCTAAAAGACCCATACCAGAGTCATCGTATATTTATACATTTTATGTTAATGCAAACATATTATTTACATGTAATATTTTAAGCACCATAAAATAAATCAATCAGAGCTTGTTTTTCAAGAATTTTACTACGTTGATGATCCTAGGATGCTCTTTAAGATAAGTGACACCGTACCACCAATATGAAAATGAAAGTTGCCAAATTCACTCATACTTGCCCTCTCCTCCCAACTCGGTTCATGTATTTGCATCCAATCTAGATTTACAATACCTTAAGGGCATGCAGCATAGACCTGTTTTTCTCATCCTTATAATCCCATAGTCTACCACATTATGTATATTAGAAAGTCAAAAAATGTTTGTTTAAAAAGAAAAGTTTGGGAGAGATCCATGGAGATATCCGGGAGCAGAAGACTCTAGGAAGACAGAACAACAGTGCAACAGTCCTGAGTTAGGTGTGTGCTTAGGATTGTCAAGAAACAGTATAGAAGTAAGATTGGCTACAGCACAGTAGATGAGAAAAGTATTACAGATGCAGTCAGAGCTACAACAGGGACCAAAGCATACAGAGCTTACAGAGGCCATAATAAGGAGGTTGGCTTTTACGTTAAGGGAGTTTGGATATGACAGTGGATTCTCCCATTCAAGTACTAACCAGGCCCAACCCTGCTTAGCTTCCAAGATCAGACAAGATTGGGGGCGTTCAGGGTGGTATGGCCATAGACAACAGTGGATTCTAAATACAGTCATGAAATTAATGGACATATTTTGAAAGAATTTATCTGACTACTATGTAGAAAAGTGACTACATGGATCAAGTATCAAAACAGTAAGACAGCTTGTGAGAGATGATGGCAGCAATGGAGGTAGTAAGAACTGGTGAAATTGTGTATCCATTTCAATGATATAGCAAAGAGGATTTACTTATGGACAAGATGTATATAGTAAGAGAGAAAAGCAAAGAAGATGACTCCAAGGTTTAAGGTCTGAGCAACTAGAAGAATGGAGCTGTAGGAGGAAGAGAATAGAGAAGAAAAAAAAAAAAAGAAAGAAACAATTTTTGACCTGTCAAGTTGAGATTTCCATTAGACACGTAAATGAGATATCAAGGTGGCAAATGGTTAAACAACTATAAAAAAATGGAAAAAAATATGAACAGAAAACTCACAGAAAAATGCAATTTGGCCAAAAATTTATTAAGACATGCTCAAACTTGCTAACAAAGAAATACAAAGTAAGGCAACAATCAGATATCTTCAACTGTCACATTTGGCGAATATTTTAAAGATTTAATTTGTATCTTTACAAAATTTGTCATTGTTGAAGCCTTTTGTGAGAATGTTTCACATACTGGAAATATAAATAGTGTGGTTTATAGTGTGGAATTACAACACAGGGCCAATCCGTATCTATTAGCATTTAAACATGCACATTTTTCTACAAAATAATCCCATTTCTAAGAAATTATTCTACAGAAATACAACAAAGGTGAGAGTGGATGCGTACAAAGAATTTATAAAGGATGTCCAGTATCAGTATTATTTAAAATAGAAAAAAAAAAGAAATGGGAGGAAGGAGAGAAAGAAAATGCAAAGTGCATTAAAAAATGGTTAAATTAACATTAGATTATCTGCAATAAAGATTATCATTCAATCGTTTAAACATTAGGAATAATTAAAGGTATGACAGAAAGCATGTTTTTGACATCTTGTGAAGTGAGCTGAATTAAATGTTTTACAACAATGAATTACCTACTGTAATTTTCAAATAAAGTACTTTATTTTAATGCAACATATGTTAATTTACTTTCTACTCACTTGGACTTCATTGCTTTTCTTTTGTACATTAGTACTCCTAGTTATAAGAAAATGGTTACCTAAACTTATGGTACAACTCTGCCTATTGAAATAACAGACTTAAATGTAGACCAACCACACAAAAACCTGTACATGGATGTTTATAGCACCTTTATTCATAATTGCCAAAACTTGGAAGCAACCAAGGTGTTCTTCAGTAGGTGAATCAACAGATAAACCAAATTTTTGGTATACCAAAAAAATTGAATATTTTTTCATCACTTAAAAGAAAGGTGCTGTCAAGCCATAGCAACACATCTAGGAAATTTAAATGCATATTACTAAGTTAAAGAGGTCAGTCCGAAAGGCTACATACTGTATAATTTGAGCTATATGACATCTGGAAAAGGCAAAACTATAGAGACAGTAAAAAGATCAGTGGCTGCCAGGAGTTTGGGAGCACAGAGGATTTTTAGAGAAGTGAAAATACTCTGTATGATACTACAATGGTAGACAGATGGCATTATAAAATCGTCCAAGCGCATTGAATGTATGCTACCAGTGAACCCTAATGTAAACTATCTACTTTCAGTGATTATGATGTGTCGCTATAAGTTCATCAAATAGAACAATGTATCACTTTGATGGGGATGTTCATAACCGGAGGGGCTGTGCATGTGTGAAGGCAGGAGACATATGGGAAATCTCTGTACCTTCCCTCAATTTTAAACTGAATCTAAAAGTGCTCTAAAAAATACTATAAAAAAATAAATGTTTAAAATGTATGCCACATTTTAAAACTATTTAAAAGAATGAATAACAAAGGTTTCCATAAAAGTTGCTCATGGTCAAATTTTCAAAATCTAGAATACAGAATATCAGTGTCATATAAATACCATTATTACAACTTAAAAACAAATCCATCTAATAAATGCCAACATAATCACATACTATGGCCACCATTACATGACTGTGAAGCGGTATTTCAAGTCACCACTAACCACAAGAGCCAAATGTTTATTGTAAATGCAATCTTCTCTAATATGATGATCTAATAAAAAATAGGAGACCCTGAAATCTACATGTGGCTTAAAAGTGCTGTCCAAAAAACCATGACAAACATTATCAGTTAAAAAGTCTCATTAGGGCTGGCCGAGTGGCTCAGTTGGTTAAGAGTTAGCTTAAGAGCACAAGCTCTGAGCAATAGGGCTGCCAGTTCGATTCCCACATGGGCCAACGATGCTGCGCTCAAGCTGAGCGGCTGCTGAGCTGCCAACAGCTGGCAGGATGGCTCAGCTGGTGAGAGCACGTGCTCCTAACAACAAGACTGCCTGTTCAGCGGTGGGCTATGCCTGCCGAAACTAATACTTAACTCAGCACCTGGAGCTGAGTTGCTGCCAGGATGGCTCAGTGGATAGCACATGCACACTTTTTTTTTTTTGGCTTTGTCCTTATATAGCCCACAAGCACATGCGCTCTTAACAACAAGGCTGCAGGTTCGACTCCCACATGGGATGGTGGCTATGCCCACCCGCAACTAAGATTATAAAACACAGCACCTTGAGCTTAGAGGACATGAGCTGCCAAAGGGCAGCCAGATGGCGACTGGCGCCTGAACAACTAAGATTGAAGAACAACAACTTGGCTGGTCCCCCTCCTCAATTCTCCAACACTGTTCCCCTCCTCCAATTCCCCAATTTTTTTTTAAAGTCGCATTAAATAATATAATCTGGCTATTAGAGGTATAAAAGCACACTATTTTCGATATACAATTTCACAATCCATCATATTTTCTAAAAGGTAATAGGAAGACAGATTTTTTTTAAATGCACAATGTTTTTTCTAGTTTACATATTTATAAAACTCTGCCAATCTTGATCCATATTTTATTTAACGAACATCTCTGTTAACATCTATGATAAGCCAAGTTACTGCTGTGAGTGCTTTGCAAATATTAGCCAGTTTTAACCTCATCACAACCCAATGAGGAATGCACTATTATTTAGACTCTTACTACCACCATTTTCAGATAAGGAAACTGATCATAGAGAGGTTAAGTAACATCCTAAGTCACCCAGCTGGTAAGAGGCAAAACAGTGATGGGAATCTAGGCAGTCTGACTCCAAAGTCTAAGATTTTTACCTACTATGCTATGGTCCCTCATCTGTTATTCAAACCTTGTCCAATTACTTCCAGTTCTACCAAATATGTAATAAACGTATTGTATTTCTACTAAGGATCATAGTTCAGAAAACATAAGATTTCTTCATTCCTACTGGAGCTAAATAAAATTGACATTAACATGGTAGTCTGATATCTATGTATTACACTTCCCGATTTCAACAATAAACAAGGTAATTTTGAGACCTCAACCTTATTGGTTAAAATAATGTCAACAATTATTTCTTTGGCATTTACCATCTAACTTGGTACAATATTAATTCTTTATTTCTGTGCCGTGGAGCAAGTACTGCACTTGGAATCAACTTGAGTAAGTTTTAGC